CGTCCTGTGCAGTGGGCTCAGGCTCCTCCGCAGAGGTTGGGAGCTTCCTGCCCGTTTCCCGTCCCTCCTGTCAGCCCGGGCCTGGGATCTGCTTCCTTTCTGTGGGAGGAGCGCTGCCCAGGTAACTAGGGTGAGCAGGCCGGGTGCTGTCTGCCTGGTGTTGGTTGAGCGGCCCTCGGCAATCCTGAGCCTCCAGGGGCCTCATCTTGCTCTAAAACATCCTGGAGGTCCCGACTGCGTCTAACCTTCCATCACTCTGATGTCCTTAATTGCAGGCTCCGTGTCCTGTCTGTCTCCAGTGTCAAGCGCAGTGCCCAGGGTCCCCACAGGCTGTTGTGCAGACCTGAGATGGGGCCAGGGGAGCCTCAGCCTGGCCAGAAGCAGGTGCCAGAGGAGGGCACTGGTCTCGGACACGTGAAGACCGCCTCCTTGGGTTGGAGGCATCCCCCTGGGAAAGGCGTAGGAAGAGGCTGGGGTGGGGACCTTCATTCCCATCACAAGACAGGTGACAGACTCCACACAGAAGGGCCACGTAGAGGCTCCAGGTAGCTCACCCTCTCAGGCAAGGGAGAGGGAGGGGGAGAGCGAAGGGGCCAGAAGCAGTCCCAGGGTGTCACTGTGGCAGTTCTTCCCAGGCCCTGCTGGCCCAGGGACCCCAGACCCCAGAGCCCTGGGAGCCAGGGCAGCAGCTGGCCACAGGAGCCCCTTACTCTGGCTGGCCCTGGGCACACCAGCTGCAGAGAGGAAGGTGCAGAGGGTGGTCTGGCCCTTCTGGGGCCCGGGCTCTCAAGGTTTCATGCGTGAATGATTTCAGGTCAGTGCCTGGGAACCGGCCCAAGCCTGCTGCAGAGGCCCAGCACCCGAGGGGCCAAGTGAGCCCCACCCGAGGCGCTGCAGGATGAGAGGCCCTCCCTAGCCGGGAGGCCCTCCCTAGCCACGAGGCCCAGTGGGACCTGCGCCCAGAGGGGCCCTGACCGTCTCACTGATGGCGATCTGGCCCCCACACCTCCCTGAGACCACCGGGCCCTCCTGGGCTTTCCAATCTGTCTCACCCTCGTGGGGCCTGGAAACAATATTTTGAAATCAAAATAAGAGAACACATCAGGAGGTGTTTTGAAAACACAAGTCGTACTTCGTGCTGTTATTATCACAATCCAAGGCTAAGATGCCACAGCGGTGGGTACAGCCCCAGCTGTGACGTAACAGGGGATCGTCACTGTGGTTAGCAGAAAACATTCCTGTCGCAGCGCGCAGCGGTCATGTACGCAGGGTGCTACGTCACTCCTGGAGGCCACTCGCTTCCCTGGCTGAGGCAGGGCTAGGGGACCAGAGAGGCTGTCCCCACCTCCTCCCCTCCGGCTGCGGAGCACCTGTCTGCACAGCTGTGAGCGCAGCCCTGATGGAGTCTCCTGGCTCTCAGCAAGACTGGCAGAGCCTGCCAGCAGGAGACACGGCACCTGGACGGGGCAGGGAGAGGGCCCAGGTGTTGAGAAAGGGACGCCCAGCCCCGAGGCTCGGGCCGCAGGCCGGTGCTGTGCTCCTCTCAGAAAGAGAAGTCGCAAAACTATCCCCACGAAAGACACAGCGAGGGGAAGCTGGTCCTGGAGGACCTGCCCCTGCTGCCGTCCCGGGTGGGTGCATCACGGAGTCCTAACACTTCCTGAGGGGTCCCTCCCACCACCACTGCCAGCCTGGTGTCTTGAGGTGCCTCTCACCTCCCAGACCTCTGTTGAGCCCCAGAGCCTCCAGCCTGGCCACCTTCCACTCTTGTGCTTCCTGGGGTCTGGTTGCCTCCTCTGAGGGCCCCAGCTGGCCCTGGCGGGGACATGGCCCTTGGCACTTCGAGGGGACAGGAGGAGGACAGGTCCCTGTTAGCCCGGATGCGGTTCCTAGGCGAGCCTTGCACACGAGCCTTGCACACGTCTAGTTCTTAAAAAATGCCCAAGGACCAGGGGGAGCCTTGGGGACCTGGGAGATTAACGGTCACGCCTTCAAGCCAATAAATAGGGTCCTGGAGTCGAGCCTGGCCCTGGCATCTCCCGAGCGCAGGCTTCCGGGTCCTTAGCAGATGCGACGTGTATTTGTCCTTAGTCACCAGCCACCGCGGGTCCCTCCTGGTGCGGCCTCGCCTCTCCCGCGGCCTGGCGTCCCCTGCCTCCTCTTTGGCCCCTAAGGCCGCTGCGCACTGTGCTGTGCCCCAGGGCCCAAGGCGCTTGTCTTATCTGGTCGCTGAGGACATTAAAGGCGCAGGGCCTGCGATTCATCCCCAGCCCCGGGCGGTGGCCAGTGGCCCCGCGGGCGGAGCTCAGGATTCAGGGCAGGTGCGGGGCCAGCGAGCGCCCTCCGAGGGCTTCGTCAGGTGGCAGCTTGGTCCCCAGCCTGGGGCGGGGCGGGGGCCAGGCGTCGGAGGTGGCCTCGGTGGCCTGGCCAGAAGGTGGGTCCCCGCGCTGACAGCAGCTGCTGGGCGGGTTGAGGAGGCGACATCCCACTGCCCTGCCTTCTCCCGCCCGAGGTCCAGGCGTCGGCCAGTGGGGCCCGGGGCCCGGGGCGGCCGGACCGATGCCTGCACTGACCGGAGCCTGCGAAGCAGCAGCTGGCACCCCCTGGCCCACTCTTCTGCCCTTGGGCACCCCAAGCAGCAAATGACCTTCCATCCTGACCCAGTGACGGAGGCAGGCCCCCTCCTGAAGGTTCCAGAAGCTTCCATCCTGCCGGCTCACAGCCCCGCGGCCGTTTTCCACATTTCAACCTGAGAAAGTCGGGGACAAGGCTCCCGCTCGTGTCCGTGTTTCTAAAAATAAAACGCGAGGACCTCTCCGCGGTGACGCGGGGCCGTGCACCGCCACGTGGACAGGCGGACGGCACATTTATGGCCTCGGGAAGGGCCCCCTGCCCTCTGCTTCCTGTGCAGGGCGCGCAGCCCATCCAGGTCTGCGCGGGGACGGGGGTCAGCACAGTACCCTGCCCCTCCCCGGCCATGGCCACGGGAGTCTGAGCACAGACAGGCCGTGGGGCAGCGCCGAGCAGCATCCCTGCCCTGTCCCCCTCCGTGGACGGGGTGCCCCTGGGAGGACACGGGCAGCCTGGCAGGGCACTTGGCTTCCCGCCTCTCCTGGTGATGGGGGCAGTTCCTAAAGACCTGGACGGTGTTGCTTCCCTCCCGGGGCCTCAGCAAGCAAGGGGGCTGCTGGCTGCTGGTGGTCGTCCACCCACCTCCACGGTCCTCAGCCAAATTTACCAGAGCCAAACGGATTAGGAATGAGATCATTATAATAAAAAGAATAAATATGCCAGGTGAAAAATGGATTATTAATTCAAGCTGTGCCCTCCGTCCCAATAATAAATGACCCAGCATTAGGAAAAGCCGGTTGCTAAATTAAAACTAATGCGGGAGAGAGCGTGTCCCCGCCCGCAGAGCCCCGTGGGGGCCGGCCCTCCCTGCCCATCTCCCCAGCCGGGCTGCTCCCTGTTTGACAGTTCCTGCAATCCCAAACTGACAGCTCCTCAAAACTGCCGAAGAAACCCAGCATTAATTAAGTCATTGCTGGACTGTAATTTCCTTGAGAAGTAAAAAATTCTCACACAAGAAAAGGTTACAGAGACCTTTCCTGTGTCAAAATTACCATGCTGCATGAATATTAATGCTCTTAATGAAGACAACCTTTTTTTCATCAGGAAGGTTCTGGAGCAGGTGCCAAGCCAGGAATCTCACTCTGGGTCTTGCAGTCTGGGAAGCTGGCACATGGCAATTTCCCGTTAGGACCACTGGCCTTCCCTTACCGCCCGCCATACCCCTTCCGCCTGTCCCCAGCCTCCTGTAGGCCTCACACCCTCCGGCCTCCTCTTCTCTCAGTGTTGAGGACAGGTCGCCTGCTCAGAATGGAAGGTGCCTATGGAGCGGGAGGGAAGGATGGCACTCGCCTGTCTGTAGTCGGACAGCATCTGTCCAGGGCCCTCCACGTGCTGGGGGTGCTGACCTGAGAGCACAGAGCCCAGGCCTCCTCCTGTATCCCAGCCTCACCCCTCCTGTCCTGGGGACACCTGGCTGGAGGATACTGGTCAGCCCACTGGACCAGGGGCCCCTGACTGTGTCACCCACCACAGTCCTTGGGAGGACACCAAAGGACGCCTGAAGGGCATCGCCAGCCCCCAGCTCCGAGGACCACAGCAGGGCCCCTGCACAGCGAGGCTTCAGCCTGGAGTCTGCAGGGTCTGGCTCAGACACCAGCAGCTCTTCCTGGTTTTCTTGTTTCAGGTGCAGCTGGGAGAGACTTCTTGGTATCACTAGGCCCTGTTTTATTCCCCCCACAAACTAGTGAGCTTCCCTCCCCTTCACAGCACCCTTAGATGGGGGGGGGTTGAAGAGGGAGCCTTTGGAGCTGGTCAGTAGAGCACTTTAGCAACCCTATTAAGATAGGCTCACCATGTAGCCATTATTAGTAGTAATTTGATGAACTATTCTGACTTGGTATTTCTGTTCCTTGGTCATCATTTTGTCCCTTTGTTTTGTGAAGATGTGGAAATCAAAAACAGACACACTGTTCCCAAGTGGAGAGGGGTCTCTGTGCAGAGGAGCCTCCCAGGGGCAATGAAATCACAGGCTCCCAGGACGAGAGAGGTGATTTATTCAGCAAACTTAGGAAGGGACCGATTGATTAGAAGTCACTGGGCCTGGCCAGTGTGCCATGTGACTGGTGCAGCCTTCAGGGGTCCCATGACCTGGAAGCACCTGCAGACATCCCCAGACCCTGCAGGCAGCACAGGTACAGCTGCCACCCCGGGTCACGCCCTGGCCCCAAAGCCCTGGGTAGGTCACCTCTGTCATTGCGTCTCCCTTCGTGTTTTGCCGATTAGTCACTCGTGACGTAATAAGGGCTGTGGCTAACCAGTAATAATAAATCTGGCCGTTTCGGTTGAGCCATATAACACCCTGTGTATATTTAAAAGGTAAGTGTGATATACAGTTATGAGTGCTGATGTAATAGCTACTAGATTTATAATACATCCAAGAAACATAATTTTATTATAAAGACCAACAGTTTACAATCTTATTGTTGTTTATTGCTGACGTCAGAAAGACCATAATGAGATTCAGGTTGCAACTAGAAATAAGGTCCGTGAACGTCTTGGGCCGTGGCACCCATTCTGAGCCGGCAGCAGTTCTGCCCCGGTGTGCTGTCCTCGGCCGCTCCACTGGCACCAGCTTTGTGCTGGGAAAACCCAGAGGAGCAAGTCCGAGTCCTGGGGAAATGCCCAGTGGAAACCACGAGAAGCAGAGCGGCGCCCAGGTTCCTACCTTGCAGACACTCCAGACTGCAGCCGCTGGGAAGGGTGACCTGGGAGGTGGCCGGGCCAGGCAAGGATGTCAGAAGGAATCCGTCCCTCTCACCTCCACAGAATGGCTTGCACCAAACCTTCCCAGAGACTTAGAATCGTGGTCCTCGGGTCAGGGCGCACCCAACAGAAGAGCTCAGCCACGCCAGCTGGTGCAAGTCTGAGCCCGTCCCTGGTTTCATGGCCAGGGCTCTGCTGTGAATGTCCCCTCCCAGGACCGTGGCATCACAGCTTATTAGGACAATGGGCTGAGCCTGCTGGATGAACACCTTGACGGGGCCAGTGCTCAGCCACTGAGATCTGGGGGGATGGGAGAGGGGGGGCTCTGAGATGGGTGACCCCTGTGAACCCACTCCCACCCGCAGCGAGGAGCTCCATGCCTCCTCAACTCCCCACGTTTCTCACTGTGTCTGAGTTATGCTTGCAAATCATTTTTAAGAATTAATAAAAACATCAAACACGTGCTACAAATCTACAGAGCCAGCTCCTGTGGGTGACCAGAGCAGGCCCCTTGAGAGCCAGGCTCTCATGGGTGTGGGACTTGCTGGGCATCCAGGTGTAGTGATGAGGTGCAGGGTGGTTGGGCCAAAGCCAGACTCCTTCTCTGAAGCCCCCAATGACTGACGATGGGCGTTTCCGCCTTCCCTTACCTGGTGAGCTACCTGAGGGCAGGGTGCACCTGGCCTTCCTCCGCGGTTTGCACGGGTGGGTGTGACATGAACAGTTTGTGCCTGTGTTCCTTGTTGGGCTCCACGTGGCTGCGTTCCCCTGTGTGGATGATTCCTGGCTTTGTTTCTCCAGAACACACTGGATCCAGCCAATCTAGAATGGCCCCCCGCCAGGAGGGCCCCGGAGAGGCCTGCTAACCTCTCAGCTGCTGGTGGCACCTCTACATTTTAGTACCTGTTTAAATTCCCAAAGACAGGCGTGCACACGTGCCTACCCACACACCCAGACACAAAGGCTCATACCTGTGCGCACACACACAGGCCAGCAGAACATTGTGTGACCCTCACCACTCCCAGCCCTGTGCCTTTATATCAATCACGGGCTTTGATTTATACCTGTGAAAATCAGAAGCATTAGATTCCAATCTGCAAAGTCTGGTTTCCATCTCATTACTGACTTTCCACTTGGAAATAAATAGGTGACAATGGCCAAACACAGCTCCCAAAATAGCCAGTCCTCAATAAACGCCTGTCAAATTAAAGTGAAATGAATGAGTCAGTTCTATTTATACAAAAATAACAAATGGGTGGCTTGAAACATAACCAGGGGCTGGCTTGGGGGTGGCATCACAGAGTGCTGTGCTGCTGGGCTGTGGGGAGCACGGAGAAGCTGGACTTGGCCCTCCAGGTAAGCATCTTGAGGGACAGACAGGGTGCTAACAGGAGCTGAAGGGACTTTGGGGTATGTCCGGCTCGAGGGGAGCCCCTGTAAGTCCCTGGGTACACCTGGCTTCCCATCCCCTGGCATCTCCCCTTCTCCCCAGAGCCACAGTTGGCTATGGGTGTCCAGCAAGGCCTTTGTTCATGGACCCTGGAGGGCAGGGGTGGCCTGGGTAATGCATCGGCAGGACCCACACAGGATTATGACTTTCTGAATGTGTTGACTGGTGCTTTCCAAGATTTAATAATCATGAACTCCACCCAAACTGCACATGCCACAGAATGGCATTTTTAATATCACGGACCTGATGACATTTACACACCACTTGAACTTTACTTCAGTGGTTTATATATTACCATCGCAGCCCTGTACAGTGTGGCTTCCGAGGAGTTGATTCTCTGCCTTCGAGTGATTTCTGGGCTTGGAAACAAGCACGCTTCGCTGGCCCCCAACAGTTTAAGCTCCTCATAACAGCTCGGATGGCACAGTGCATTTCAAGGTGATTCTAAGGTATGCTGTCATTTTCAAAAAATGAAACCACCAAACAACGTTTCTCTACATCTAAGAGAGGTTAAAAGTAAACAGTCCCCACTGCCACGAGCCTGTAGCATTGCACCCAGAGAATCATCCCCATGATCCGGGCAAAGAAGGGGCTTCCTCCTGTCCGAACCTGGATTCTGAACAAGGTGGGGCTGGCATCTCCCACAAAGGCCCGAGGTTGAGGGTGGGATTGCCAGAGGCTCCCAGGTGCAGGTGGGGCCCTGCTGGGCCTGGAACCAGCACTTCCCTCGTGTGCCCGGCGTAGAACAAATTCTGTTCTTTCCCTGCAGGAGACTCCAGATCAAAGATGGTGTCCCTGTGATGTCCCTTCCCAGGCCACAAACCACTGTCTGTCCTGCCCCTGGAGAACAGAAACAATCCCCACGTGTCCCCTCACCACATGGTCGGTAAAGAACAGGCTCTGGCGTGTCCACACACAGCATGCTTTGCTCCTGGTATCAGGATGCTGTGCACCATCCCCAGCAGACATGAGGCTCTGGCTGTCCTGGGTGGGGGTGGGGGGACAGGGAGAAACCGCACTCCCTCTAATTGCACATGCATAGAGCATATCATTTGCTCTGTGCCCACAGGCTGGATATCTGCAGTTGATGACACTATAATTTTACCTCTTCAATGCCTGCCTAAAGTCGGTGGTCAAAAAACAAAGAGAGAAAGAGGGAGAGAGAGGAGCCACTGTTTCTCTGTTCTCTCTTGTGCACGAGGCCCCCAGGGTCGCATCTGCCCCATGGTTGGTTCTTCTGCTGTAGATGCACCTGAGACTTTTCTCCTGTAGCCTGTGTTGCTCTCTAAAGGACAGTTCCTGCATCCAGAGTCGAATTCGGGCCTCCCCAGTATGAACCCCAAGGTCTTGGAGGAAGCCACTGCTCCGTCACCCTCTCACCTATCACTGATCCTTGCCGGCCCACAGCCTGTGGCTGCCCCTGCGCCTCGGTTCCAGACCTGGTTCTCATCCTGTTAACTGTGGCCATCAGGGACACACACATCCGAAGTGCACAAGCGCCAGCTCATCGCCACCCGCACCCCCACCCCCACCCTGAGGAAGAGGCAGGTGGGGGGGGCGGGGGCGGGCGGGGGCCACAGCGCTGCGTCTCTGAGGCTGGCCCCGGGCTCTCAGCATCCTGACTCCTCACGCCCACCCTGTCTATCAAAACCACTCACTCAACCTCAGATGGTCCTGTCAGAGCCCCCAGGTGGTCAGGACTGGCCCATAGTTCCTCCTTCAGGTGCGGGTCTGGTGCCCAGCCAGGGAGCTCCTGCGTCAGGGGAGGGACAGTCAGGAGGAGAGGTCCCCAGGGACAGTCTTCCACAGAGGCCAGCAAGGAAGAGGGGTCCCAGTAGGTGCAGGGCCAGCACCTGCAGGTGGAAGGTCACCCCAGGCCAAGTCCCTGGTGTCGAGTGACTCAAGGAGTCCACAGAGGTGGCCCCTGTGTGGCGATTCTGGTCCCAGGGGTTGGGAGGCTACTGAGCAGCCCAGGCAGGTCCAGAAGCCCCCTTTGGCTCCACCAGACGTGGTGTTTTGGCCACCACGTTGGCACATCATTCCTCTGACACTCGGGACGATCCTCAGGACGGTGGAGGCTGTGCACACTGGCTGCTGATGTCAGATGGCCAGAGTAACCGCATCACACACCTGCCTGTGACCCCAGCTGGTCTAACTCCAAGAGAAGGCGGGTGCTCGCTCAGCTCTGCCGGCAGGGGAGTCTCAGCCATGGCAGCGTCCCTGAGAGCTGCAAACTCTAATCTGTGACCAAGGCGGCGACAGAACATTGGGCCAGAACGGAGCACCTTCCACTAGGGAAAGGGTGGCCTTATCAACAAGGGATTTGGAGACAACTGGGTGTAAAGTTGGATTCCTTTCTTACTCTCCCCCTGAAAATAAAAATAAATATAAACACAAGTCATAGAGTCCAAAACCATAAGGAGAACTATACTTGATATCAGAGGTGCCTCTCTCAGTAGGATGTAAGGGCAGCGCTGTGGCCCCCGCCCGCCCACCTGCCTCTTCCTCTTCCAGGAGGGAAGGTAGGATTCTCTACGTAGCAGGAACCCAGCCAGATAGTTACAAGGTAGATGAAAAATTGGAAAAAAATATCTGCAACATATTTGAGAGCCACTGTTCAGACAATAGGAAGAGCTTCTATTAATCAATAAGAAAATGGGAAGAACTCAGTGGAGAAACAAAAGCCAGCGCCCAGCGAACATGTAGAATACGTAGACCTCTTTAATGTCAAAAAGGCTGCCTCGGAAACACACGAGTTGTGTGATTGCTATGAGGCAGGCAGAGCTGGGGGGTGACAGAGCCAAATGGTGGTGCAGAGGCTGCTGGGTTCCTCCTACAGCAGGTGCTGGGAGGGCCGAACGGGCGCCTGCCTTCGTGCACGTTTGCAGTTGGTAAGCGAAGCTCTACATTTCTCTGTTAAGTGCTGCTTTTATAATGGGAAAGTAGAAGAAATATTTTAACCTCACTGGACAAAATGTAGGGGTTTGTGTCTTGGTTTCTATGGCTATCGAGGTGGAACAAAACGAATATTCTGATTATAAAAATGAGCAAGTGATCTGAGCAAGCATTTCTCAACAGCAGACGTACACAGGGCCATCCACCAAGTGCATGAAGAAATCCTCAGCGTCACTATCAGGAAAAAGCAAATCAAAATCACAGTGAGATCATCTCATCCCCGTTAGAATGGCTGTCATGGAACGGAAGCAACAGAAACCACAGCAGATAGTGGCGGCCAATGCCTCGCGATGCAGAGGAGGGAGCCCTGGCCGCTGCCCGCGGACAGGCGCTGGAGCCGACTTGCGAAGGCGGACCTGCTGTCCGACCCATGCACACTCATCCTAAGGAAAGAAAACAGTAGGCAGAGAGGGAGGCTACTGAGCTTACGCAGCATCGTCCACAAGAGGCCAGACACAGTCCCGTGAATGAAGACAATGAGACTCACGGGAACATCAGGGCGCTGTGCAGCCACACGGAAGCATGGAAACCGGGAAGGGCCCAGAGGACGTCATGCCAAGCGCAGCCAGCCAGGGGCAGAAGACCGACCGCACCTTCTCACTCCTGTGAGCAAGTAAAATGCGTCGGCCCATCAAGGCAGAGGGGGACAGTGGTTCCAGAGGCTGGGAAGGAGGGAAGGGACAGGCACAGACGGCTGGTAGGACGACGGCGCTCTGGTGTTCTGGCAATGATCTATTGTACATCTCAGAATAGCTGGAAGAGAGGGTTTCGAGTGTTCCCAACACAAAGGAAAGATAAATATTTGAGGTGATGGATATGCTAATTACCCTGATTTAATCATTGCACATTGTGTACATGTGTCAAAATACCACACTGTACCCTGTGAATATGTACCTTTATTATGTGTCAATTTTTAAAATGATGATTTTTGAAAAAGAACCAATATATGAAAAACCAAATTCAGAAGCTGCAGTTGAACCGGAGTTCCCTGTTTGCTGTAAATAACACCCCAGAAGAAGACAAGCAGGAGCTGCACCGGGCACCATCACCAGCTCTGTGACAGCTCCGGGCACGCTGCCTGTCCGCTGGCCTCACACCCTTCGCCCTCCGTTGCCCCAGATGGGCTACTCTGCAACGACCCAGGCCTCACTGAGTGCTGGCCAAGTCCTCTCGGGGCCTGCCCACCTGCCGGTGCTGCTGCCTCTTCCCCTGCTCCTGCTGGGCTGCCATTTCTTCTGCACCCTCCTCCGCCCAGCTCCTTTCTCCATGGCTCCTCAGCATCTCTTCATTCCCCTCTTCTTCTCTCCCTCTCCTCTTCCTCCAGGCCACGCGTGATCACGCTCCTGAGGGGAATATATATATAGGATCAGATGAGTTTGGAAGAAAGAAAACAAAACGAGTCGCCCAGATTTCTGTGGACTTCCTTCCTCCTCCCCTGCTCCTTAATCAGCGGCGTCACTCAGAAACGGGGAGCCCTTGCCACCTGCCTTAATGTGGAGGCGGGGGTGCCACCAGTAAGGTGCTCTGCTGCTCCTTGAGGAGCCGTCAGAGTGAGCTCAATTAGGAGCTCCTGTGGTTGGCACCCCAACAGGCTCGGCCAGCACAACGGGCGGCAAGTGGGAACTGCCCTAGGTGCCTAGCTTGAGGGGGCGGGCGGGGGTGCCAGCTTTGAAAAATGGAATCAGACCAAGCCACTAGAAAAAAGATGGTCAAACGTACAAAGAGGGTGAAATTCCACAGCCACGAGTCAGGTCAAGAAAGAGCCAATGCTGCACACGTGTGTCCTCCAGACAAGACCGCCTTGGGCTGAAGGCGAGGACCAGGGCTCTTCAGCCATCTGTCCCTGTGTTGGTCACCACATCCTCTGTGACCAGGCGCTGTGGCACAGTGACAAAACCTGAGGGCTCACCCTGGTGCAGATGTGCCCTGCCTGATGAAGGCTTTGGCAAGGTCTCCCGCTGGGAGATGGGGGCTCTGTCCCCCTGGCAGCTGGGTCTGCTCTCGGTGCACACGAGGCCCTGCAACCCCCACAGTTCTAAGAGCTCAGGGTCCACAGAGAGCGCCAGGGCAGGGCAGGATTTTTAAACACTGAAAATGCAGTGAGGGGACCCCTGGCTGACCCGGCCTAGAGAGGTGAGCCTGGACCCAGGGACAGTTCCAGAGAGGTTGGAGGGTGCTGCTGCTCTTCTGCAGCCTCACAGGGGTGCAGGGGCTCCTCCCAGCCCCATGCCCAGCCCTGCGGGCTGTGTCAACCACACTGCAGTGAGCACACCTGAGAACCCCGGGATCTGACGGCTGTGCACAGGGGCCAGCTGCCCCACGGTCCTCCTGCACCCCAGCCTCTTGCTGGGTGCGGGGGGAGACTGCGGCCGGGAGCACAGCCAGTCAGAAGGCCGTCATCCCACACAGAAGATGCAGCCCCTGGCCCTGCTCAGGCAGCTTGTCTCCCAGAGACCCTCATGAGAGTCGCTGTGATTGAGAAGGGCCACCTGGGAGCAGAGCTGCCTCCTGTCGCCTTGCGAGGCGGTTCTGGGCAGACCTGCCCTGGGCTAGCGGGTCCCAGGTCAGCCCGTTTATTTCTTACCTGATGCTCACCAGGCTCCCAGGTGGTTTGTGTTATGTGTGGTGGAGAAATGACCATAAAAAGCCTGCTCTGGTTTGGTCATTCTGAGCCAGCCACCAGGGAGTCACAAAGGGCTCACGGGCCCGGCTGCGAGCCAGGACTGCGCGTAAATCACCATCACTGCGTGGGCCGGCAGCGAGGGAGGGCCCCTTGGACGCTGTCTCTGCTCTGCTGGGCTGTGTGGGCAGGCCTGCCTGACCCTGCCCACCCCGGCACAGGCCCTTCCGGGCTGCTGACAGGAGCCCTCCTGCTCCCAGCCGCCTGAGGAGCCTGGAGCCAGGTGGCCCGTCTGGGGAGGAGCCTGGGGCTGCAGGTCAGGCCCAGGCTTCCTCCCACACCGGTGCAGCTGGACCCTCTGCAGCTCGGGGCCTCCCAGGGCCTAGGGAGCCAGGGAGTCACCTCCACGTCATTCAGCCCGGGTGAGGGGTGGGGACCAAGGGCACACCCAGAGGCAGATGGCAGGAACCCTCTTCACTCCCGCAGAACAGCAGCTCCTCCTCCTCCTCCTCCTCCTGTTTTCCTACTCCAGGTCGGTCATCAGAGCACCCCTGTGACCCTGCTGGGTCCTTCCCCTGCTGCGTCTTCCCCAGGGGGCGCCACAGAGCAAGTGCCGCTGGCTCCTCCTGTGCCCCCCCACCATGCTGTCCTGAGCCGAGCTGGCGACAGCGGGGCAGGGCAGGGCTGGCCGGCTGGGCAGGCTCTGTTTCTGAAGGGCTCCTCTGAATCACCAGCCCCTCGTGTCCCAGGTGTGCATATGCCCGAGCCTGTGGGACGGTGCGGCTGCCGTGGGTCGTGTGGTGAGTCACCAGTGTGGCTGAGTGTGAATCGCACACACCGTGAGCGTGTGTCTGGGCTGTGTGCACACTTGCTGGTGTGAACTGTGCCCAGATGTGGGAGTGTGCTGAGACGAGGTGTGGGGACCTCTCTCGTGGCTGGGACA